CGGATTTATAATTTTGAAAATTACTTGCAATCATTTAGGCTATAATAAGTATCAAAGTAATAGAATCAAAAATCGAATAAACTTTGAATAAATGTGAGGTGCTGCACTCGAATTCGTAACTGATTGTGAGTTATATACCAATACAAATAAAAAGACTGATCACTTCATCTCACAATGTAGTGTCAAAAAATATAATCAATATACTTCAAATAATAAGTTATGGCAAATACGTTTAAGTGAGTAAGTACAAAACTATCAGTTGGAATAACCACTATTACATGGGAATCTTCATTATCTACGTTAAGTAACTACATAATCATCTGTTGAAGTCACAACTACTCCGTCGAAATCACCACTATTCGTTTCAATCATTTCAAGTATTCAGTAAATCTTAAGCCCATATAGCAGAACTACACTCTACTGAAAGCCGAGAAGAATAAACTAAATGATCATACGAATTTTATAATATCGATTTCGAAACAATTCGTGACTAATCGATAAGTCATTACTACCATAAACATACCCAATCCATTGACAATCTTTTGACCAGCAATCATTTGCGCATTCAATTCTTAAAAACTCCAAGAAATCTTCTACCAGAAATCTTCCTCGAGCTTCTTCCTCGAATACATTTCTCTACTACCTTCCTTCTTCCTCTTCTGCTGGCGATGTCTTCGTGGAGTGCCATCGCGGTCGACTTGCGGCACACTGACCATAATGTAGGTCAACGTATAAATAGTCAAGTTCATGGTGAGAACAAGTTTATTACGAGAAGAGGTAGCATTTGAAATACACCGTAGTACGGGGTGACTAACATTTTAGTAACTTGTTGAGTGTTAGGCATAACAGTTGGATTTCATTGAAGTTTTGGTTGAATTTTCCGAAAAACTAGTGCGAACGTGTGGATTTCGATAAATTCGAGAAATATTTTAAAAGGTAAGAAATGAAATATATGAAGTATTTGATAGTAATACCCTAACCAAATGCGGGAGAGTATTCAATAAATATGTCAATAAACGAATAATAACCTAAACAAGTAAAATTTGCAGTAATATTTGCGTAAAAAGGGTAATAATATTTGTTTTTTTTTCATTCAGTTATGATTACAATTGCTTGGAAAGGCATTCAATCATTTCGGTGACTAATGTGTAAATACTACCCAGTGGTCGTCATTTTAAATAGTAATGATATATAATTAGCTATTTGCACGTCGTAATTTAATTTTCTTCGCATATTCTATCCTATCACATAATTTATAATTTCAAAGTTATTAAATAATAAAACACTCAAGGTTCGGAAAAGCTAAGAAGCTATGCTTTTCTTCACATATTCTATCCTATTACATAATTTATAATTCCAAAGTTATTGAATAATAAAACACTCAAGGTTCGGAAAAGCTAAGAAGCCTAATTTAATAATCAAAGGTACCCAATAACAATGGTAACAAATAAGTAAAATTCTTTAAATTCATTTTTTCTACTGTCGATATATTAGCAGAAAAATATATCTCTCCTCAAAGATAATTCAATAATTATAGTAAAAGTATACTTTCAACTAATTATTTATTAATCGATTTTAATCTGTTAAGAATCCGATATTAATGATGGATTATTATTGGTTCAGAATGCGTTATAGCGAAACTTTTGCTACATTATTAGAATACCGTGAAAGTTGAACTCGAATTCGATATCCAAAAAAAACTTAATGCAATGAATGAATTTTGCCTCGAGCTTTAAAAGAAATGTTTCATGCACGTGCTTCAATTTTTATGAATGAAACCAAATGTATCAGAAGTGTAAAAAGAGAAATTAATTTAGGCGAAAGCTATATCAACAATGTAACACTTGTCTTGCAAATAGGTGTTTGCTTATACTATTCACAAACTGACTATAGACATAGAAGATTTAATTTATTTTGATAATAGAGGATCAAAAATATGAAAACTTGAATGGCTTAAGATTAAAGGTTTTGGAATATTTATCCACAATTTATGGATCAATTTTTAGAAATTGGTGTACTACATTTTTTATTAAGAATGAACCTCTTCTAATTTATCTTTTCCCAGAATATCTATCTCAATTTCACTAACAAGCCACAAACTCATTTCTCTCATCAAACATTTTCTTTCGAAGAAAGTCGAATAGTTTAACACGCCGGTATTTCTGGGTCAAATCAAATGCAATTTATCGTCAAAGCCAATGTGGTCGTTAATTGAATAATACGATAAAACCAATCTCAGCTATAAATTTAAGTATCAAAACATCAAAAACATGAAAAAGATACTAAAATGTAGCGGTACTAGCATTCTTCAGAAAGAAATGCCATCGTTCAATAAGAAATTTAAAAGAAGCTCAACTTAAAGACGTGCGCGCCGAACAAACATGGAATTTGCTTCACATTCACACACTGACCCGGATAAGAAAATATACATTTGACGAGATGTGAAATGTGATTCATTCGAATTTAGTTTTACAATAATAATTAATGGATACCTAAGTACTGACACGCACAATGACACTATATACGGTAATTTTAATATCATGATTTTGGATATGGATATGTTTAATGATTCATGATGCCACAAGCCAATCACTATTATGATTGTGTGTTTGTATGCAATATCAGTTTGTATGTCAATTTAGTGATAGTAAAAATACTCTGACTCTCAAATGGTAAATTTATATTAATTATTGCAAAAATACGTTTAAACTATTATAGGTTGTGTTATTACGAATGATTATAAACTATATTCTTCAGTAAAAAACTTAATTTTAATTTAATATGCCATTATTATAAATACTAAAATTTCAATTACTCTAGCAAATTATCAAACCATTAATTAAAATCTCATTTATATACTATACGTTTATACTACTGAAAGTGAAGTAATAAATTTAATAAGAACCATTGACTCTTCGAACAGTTATTAAATATTGCTCTCGCAAAACCGTTAGCGGAAATTAAAATGAATGTTTAATTCAATTATTATTAAAACTGGAAATAATTCTAAATGAATATAAGTAACTGTACAAGTAAAATTCTATTACATAATCAGAACCGAATCAGATACATCATCTCGACAAATGAAAATGTAAAAAATTATTATTATAAAACGTGCTGTAAAACGTAAGGCTTTCGGTACTTTGATAAAATTGTTCAAAGACCAAAAAAAATGGATTTCGTATTTTGCTTTTAAAATGAATCGTTAAAAGGAAAAAATGGGTTCCGTATTTTGATTTTGAAATGAATTTTTGGATCTAACAATTAAGCCTAAAAATGAATACGAATCTAAAGTCAAATTTGAGGGTAAAAAGACAAAAAAAATTAAAAACCGACAAAACCTCCGATCTAGTAATTCTTCAGCCCTGTAATTAAAATCTCATAATTTTTGTCGTTTCCTGGACTTTTTTATCTTTAAAGACAATTGAGTTTCAATTAAATGATCTATTAATTTGTGTTGGTAACATATTTACACTCCTTTCCTCTACGTAATCTGCAACATGTTTTCAATTGAATATCAGAAAATATATTTGCAAATTTCTGCTGTATTCTACAAAAAAAACTTTAATAGATCATCTAAGTCAGTAATTAATAGTCATTTAAGGCGAAAAAGGTCAGAAAATAACAGAAATTGTAAGATTTTAATTATCATGTTGAATTACTAGATCGGAGATTTTGTATTTTTTTTTAATTTTCTGCCATTTAACCCTTAAATTTGACTTCAAATTATTGTTCAGTCGTGAAAACTACATTGGAAACTTATGCCGCACATCTCAAATAAACATTATTTTTTTGGACCTGTATAATTTAAATGTAAACCATATTTATTAATAATATGAATATTATCATTTTTAATTATTTATTTATGAATAAACATACATTTATACCAAAAATTTGTAAAAATAACTCAATTTGCCTCCAGAGTCGAAACTAATTAAGATATTTTCATTAGTTGCTATTTTTTCTTCAAACAGATTCATCAAAAATAGAAAATTGCAACTAGACACTGATGGCAAGCTATTTTGATATGATTATAAGTAAATATATTAGTCAAATACATTTTCCTAAAATTTTCTTTCAATCAAATTTTTCCAAATAGACTTGCCGATTTTCACTCATATTACTAATTATAAATTACTACTAACTCTCCTCAAATAATGTGAGTGGAAATCGAAAAGTTCGTTACTTTAAAATCATGCATAGCCCATCTATCTATCATTAAACTATTATGTGATATTAGTGTTTCATAATATTTTCCTTATCGGTCACAAAATCTGTGAGGCATTGTTGTTTACATCGTTTTTCATATATAATGGGCATGAACCGATTACGTTTGTCATTAACAAATTTCTATATAACTATAATTTAGATCGCATATAGTGGATACTTTCTCTTACTATTTCCATGACGAGTTACAATAATAACACAATAGTAATGTTGCACACAAATCTAAACAATACCCTTTAGCCTCATCTAATAACACCATTGTTTGAACGGTTTCGCAACAATTTTAGGGTACTTATAAAATTAATTTAGAGAAATATTGTTCAGTGTTTATCAAAAAGTGCGGCAGAAGGTTCTAGATAAACGAGTGAAAAATTGTCCATAGTATAGGATTATTTCATACTGGTATGTTTTGTGCATAAAATGATCGACCGTAAAACTTTTATACATTATACAGTGCTCAATATTTAATAAGAGTGATTTTTTGTAATATTGATATCACGTAGTAAGAAATTTCTTACAATATTCCTAATTCTGAAGCCAAAGATTACTGTTACTGTTATATTTGAACCAATAACTGATAAAATCAGAGTATCACGACTCTCCTGAAAAAATATTGTACTTGTTCTCGGTTTTGTGATTCTTTAATGATTGTCTTATAATCTTTTTAAAAAAATAGAAGCATAAAAAATATATTATATTCACTTAAATATATATATATATATATATATATATAGCTTCAGTTAAACAAATAGAAATCTGAATAAAAAACATACCTCCTATGACTCAACAACTCGAATATCAGCCAATCTGAAATAGATAATAATAAAAGTAAATTTAATAATATAATAGTAACATACATGAATATAAATATATGTTATATACTTATATACATATTGTTAAGGTTTTTCAGCCACAAGTCGAAAAAAAAGAAAGAAAAACGACTCGTGGCTGAAAAACCTATATGTTTTAAAGTCGATTTCAAGATTATATACATATATAAACTTATTTATTATTTAGGAATTTGAAACTCATGTTAAATAGCTTCAAAAGTTATACATAAATTGAACATGTTACATTTGAGAATAATTTTTAGTTATTATAGAGTTTAACAAATGTTCCAATTTCATAAATAATTTAAAAATTAAAAAAACTAAAAAACAATAATGAATGAAAAATTGAATTAAAACTGGATTCTTATACACACGTATGTATATGGAATCTCATTACCACGTAATGGCCATAATTACACCAAAGCTCTCAAACCTAGGTTGCAAGCTAATAATTTCTAAACAATGTGAGGTATTGTTTTTCAATTTTTTTTTAGATAGTTAAGGTCAATATTATCACCGCGTTTCGGCTTGACGTCAAAGTCTGGGACACCCTATAAATAAATTTAATCGACTAAAATTGTACATGGAACAAGACGTTGAATAATCAATTCAAATTCAGAAAATTCATAATTTCAGAAAGGATAATATACGAATAATTTCCTTAAATCACTTACAGCATTTGCTGTGTATGTGCAGATTTTTTTCACAAATATCTTATTTTAAATCTTGCTAATTATTGTTACTTCCGAAAAATTTACTTCAACTTTGTACGTAGTCGAAATTCCTTATTAGTACGATTGGATTCTCTTTCGCGGTCAATGTATCACGGTCAATGATTTACTATAATAATTGAATTAATTTAAATTATTTGTTTAATAATTATTTCAAATCAAATAAATTAATGCAAATGCACTAATATATTTATAATTTATAAATTAATCCATCATTTGAAGGAGAGGAAGCCAGAAGGAAAAAAGACGGAATAATGAAGAATTTATTCATTATTTAAATAAACATTGAAAATAATATGTTTTAGAAAGGTGTATGTCAGTGATACCTATCTAATCAAAGTAAATTTATTAATTAGTCTGATTATAAAGTATTTTATATTAAGCACATCTAAGAAATCGAAATAAAAATGAAAAATTTGCATCTATATTCAAGGTAGCATATCCATATTCTTATAGTATCAACATAATTTCATACATATTTATAGGAGATTTATAAATGCAGTCATCAAAAAAATTGTAGTAATATAGTCGATATAATTTCTTAACCAAATATCATAAAATTTGAAGATAAATTGTCATAAATATTTCTAATTATTAATAAAAAAAACGCGGTAAAAAATAATAAATCGTGCCCAACAGACTATATACCTAACCGCCGTTTATTATAGCTGCTAATAGATTTACCACTTATAGAAGACCACAATAGTAGAAAGTTCTTGTACTCAATAAACATGAAACGCTGCGTTTGTGTTGTACTTTTATCGCACAATGGTAATAGACATGAAGCTAATTGTCTTGTTACTCAAAATAATAATCAATCACTTGTAAAATTTCCATGTGATTCTAATGTATTTGAATATAAAAACGTTTTGCAAAAATATAAAATTTAGAATTTATTGAAAATTGTTCCCTAAGGTAAATTGCTAGAACTTTTGTAAGTTTTACTTTACATTACTTTAAAATTTTAAATCTTTAATAAGCTCAGAAATAAAAAATTATATTTCTTTTGAGAATTTTGAATTTGTTTCTACTTTATAGAAAATTTTGAAAACATGTGAAAAAAATATTATCAAAAAAATAGGATATTAAAATTGTATCTTTTTTTCGAAATTTTGATAATTTTTTAAAAGATTTGATATCCATTCATGTCGTTTAATCCAAACCGTCGAAAATATCTGATTTCCGTCCGCGAAATGGCATTTTTTTTAACTTTTTTTTCTGAATCTCTGAAACCGCTGGACCTGCCTTTGCAAACACTTAATCTATTGTTCATTACGTCAATAAAAGTGGAATGGTTTTTATATCGTTTCAATCGAATGCTCAGTTCTCTCACAAATCGACTAGCAAAAACTAATCAGCACATCTTCGCTACGAATAGGAATCGAATGTTTTTTGAATAATTCAAATCGGTTAATCAGTGCTACCGAGAACGTCGACGGAAAATTGTATCCATACACATACACACACAAATCCATTTTTCTGAGTTATGTCAAAATTTCAGAAATCTCTGAAAGGTAAAGAGATGCAAAAGTTTTCATTTTCGATTTGTGGACGATTAATATAACTTGCCCTACTGAAAGATAAATATTTATTTCTAATAAACCTTTTTATTTAATATAACTATATTCTCGCCTCCACATATATATAAAAAATTGTGATATCGAGAACTTCCAACCAGAAGGTTAGAAGCAAGTTTAGAAATCCGTCTGAAAGCATAATAGTGAAATTTCACTTCAAATATAGATAGCAATACGTTTCCAACTAAACATAGCCCTAACCCGCCTTCAAATTAAAAACAATCACTAATAAAGAAATTCTAGTATAAAAATTTGGTAAAGAGAGATAGGCCAAATGTGGTTGCCTTCTTATCACATAATCCTAAATGTATCTGATCTGTCTGATCACTGTTCAAATAAACAACAATAAAAATTATTACAAAACTATTTGTTACATGACATTTGCTATTTTTATTATTATTATTTTTACTCTGTTTTATTCAACAATCAGAAATACATAAGAATTCCTATAAGCTAAATTGACAATAGTTGAGAGCGATGTCTAAGAAGAACTCCAATGAGATCTTCTTAGTTTAACAATTAAAAAGATAATGATATATTGAAGCTAATCTAAAACTAAATCTAGAGGCCGTTGACGTTTTAACCTTCTTACGCCAAATGGTTGTAAAATGTCGCCTATTGATGGGTTTGAATGTGATTCCAGTTTATCTTTGTATTTTTCCTTGAATTCTTTGAACGTTAATTGTACCGTTTTCATGTTGAGATCGCTGTGAAAGGTTTCATTTGTAACTTACCACGGAGAATTAAGTATTGTACGTGAAATTTTTGACTGAGTTCTCTGCATTATAGCTATATTTGATTTGTAAACACATCCCCAGATCTCAATTCCGTAGGTCCAGATTGGTTTAATGATTGATTTGTATAGCAGCAACTTATTTTCAACAGAGAGCTTAGACTTTTTACGCAATAGCCAAATAGCCAGACGTAAGTTCAAAATTGCAATGTTTATATGTGTCATCTCAGTTAAGGAACATAAGTTGTTAAGTCAATTTTCACTATTTTGCAAAGCTTGATTTCGAAGTTCTATCACTCATATAATATCGGGTATTTGAAATCTTGGGTTTGAATTAACTTTTGTTCCTAATCAATAATTTTTCAATTTAATAAATATTTGCAGAGAAATAGTTAATATCGCGATTCAAAACATTTTTACCAAAATTCGACTTAACCACTTATTCACTGAGATGGCAGATTTATACTCCCATTTATTGGAGCCAAATACTTCTTGGGAAACAATTCAGTTACACAAAAATTGAAATACTAATTGCATTCAATATACTCTAATTTATATTCCAGAAATATTGAGTCTTAAGAACCTCTGCCGTGTATAATAATTAATACATATATTGAATAAAATAATGTCGAGATATCCAACTATTTAATATTATAGTGTCTGTTGTCCTGAATCACGACACAGTTTGGTAAAATACAGCATTCTCGCGTGCTTTCTCCGCCGGATGTTGCAACAACCGCGAGATCACGGTGAATTTACAATCGCGACGCGCTCTTCTACGAAAAGAATGCGGATGTTTCTTTGTCATTGGAAAATGATACAGGATGTTCGCGAATAGCTAAATAATGATTTGCTTAAATCAATTGATTCACAGTTTACAGATTAATAAAGTGAGTAATTGAAAGCATTATGTGATTAAATAGAAATCTTCGTATGTGATGTTAAAACAACATAAAATTGTCGCTGAACAATTCCTAATATTATATTATATCTTTAGACATAATTATTAGTGAATATTTTAGCAGAATATAAATCAATAATATTTAAAACATCATTTTTTTAGAAAGTGCAAGAATATAATTCATTTAAATTTAATTTCTTTAAAAAGTGCAATTATTTTATCATCTTAAAAAAAATAAAAAAATACAAAAAGATCTACTTATCAAAATAATAGGTAAAAAAATTTAATCCTATCGAGGTTCTTTGATGTTTGAGGTTATATGATCATCCTTAGTACGATTTTCCACATAGTCCGACAGTTTCTGCACTTTAAGATATATTGTACCAACCCGCATAATGAGCTATTTAGCATAAGATGCATTTTTTATCTGATCCCTTAGAAAACGTCTTGACTGAGATTGACAATATTTTCCAAGAATCCATAAATTAAATTTTTTTATAATTTTCCTTTTTATTTATTAACTTCTCGTAGGGTAAGTTATAGTAATCCCAAAAAAATAAAAAATGAAAATTTTTATATATCTTTACGTTTCAAAGTTTTCTGAATATTTTGGCATACCTTAGAAAAAATGGATGTGTGTGTGTGTGCGGATACAAATTTTTGTCGACAATTTCGGGAACAAGGATCAACCGATTTCAATTATTCAAAAAAACATTCGATTCCTATTATAAGGAGACGTGCTGATTAGTTTTTGGCATAGGCAGGTCTAGCCGTTTTAAAGATACGGGGCAAAAAGTACCTAAAATGGTAACTCAGTTTTTAAGAGAACGGAGCGTCCGATTTTAATAATTCAAAAAACATTTTACTTGTATTGATAAGATGAAGAACTGATTAAATTTTTGGGATGGCGGGTCCAGCGGTTATGGAATCTCAATAAAAAATAAGTTAAAAAAATGTCATTTGGCGGTCAAAAATGTTTATTGGGCATATGTACAGATATTTTATAGAGATTTTAATAATGTGCACAAATGTTTT